ACAGTGTCGTCATCCAAGTGATACTGGATGACGTTTCGTAGCTCGATGTCCTCGGGGGCGTCCCCAAGGGTAGGGTCAAACTCGGCCGAGGCGTCCTCGCCGTACTCCAGAGAACTGTAGCGCTGAGAGAATGACGCTCCAGGGCGGGTCGGGCGACGAAAACGACCAGCAAACGAGGAGCGGCCTCGGGTGGTACCGCGAGACTGAGAGGTGGCGGCTGGCCGCGAAGAGGATGGGGCGACGGAGAAGCGACTGCACATCCTCTGGTACTGGCGCGCAGCCTCGTATGCCTGCTCCGCGGAAGAGAATGATCGCCTCCATAGCTCTAGGCGATAGTCAGTCGGCAGGCTGACAAGGAACCGGTCGGTGAGTGTGACCTCCGGTAGGAACGTCTCGTCACAAACAAGGCGAGCGTCCTGAAACACCCGGATGTGACGTTCCAGGTCGGCCGTTACAGAGGACCCGGACCATCTGGTCTGGGTGACGCGGTCTAAGGCGTTGGTGGCATCATGACGAGCGCCGAAACAGTCCTGAAGGAAGGCCGCGAAGTCGGCCAGAGTTGGGACCTCACCCACGCGGAGGAGCTGGGTATAATGATCCTCCCACGCAGTGGAAGGGCTACCTCGCAATTTGGTTGCGAACACATCGCACCACAACTCCTGACGGGTGGTCGTCATTGAGAGCGTGCGCGTTGCTATCTGCAACCAGGGAGAGACACGGGTTGTGCCATCATACTCGGGAATGTCCGTGGTGCGCACAGGAGGATGTCCACTGTGCTGATGGCGGGGGGAGAGAGATCGAGGCGAGTGCACTGCGGCAGCGTAAGTCGAGGTCGCTGCAGGGGCAGAGGTGGGGGAAGGCTGTGGGTCGTGGCCGCTAGCGGATGGACCAGCAGACGAGGAGGCAACGGCCGCGGGCAGCTGTCCCGGAATAGCCAGGTAGGAGGGAAGAGGCTGAGGAGCAGGTCGAGGGAAACGAGCCTTCATCATGGGGACCGAAGGGGTGGTAGAGGAAGAAGGGTGGGCAGCCTGTGATGGGTGAGACTGTCTCAGAGCGAGAATCTCCGCCTGAGCCTGCGCAATGGTGGCCTGTAAATTGGCCACGCGCTGGGTGCGCGGGGTCGGAGGTGGAGGGGGCGGAGCGGGTCTCCCAGTGGGAGGAGGAATCCCAGCCTGGGCAGTACCCTGCTGTGGGGGTGGGGGGACAAAGGCGGGAAGAAGAGGGCGGAGCCGTATTACCGCGACCGGTGCGGGAAACTGGGAAGCAACACCAGTGTGGGTCGATGAAACTGCTGGGCCTCGAGGCAGTACCTGGACCGCAACACCTACGGCAGTAGTAGAGACGGTAGGGGCGGCCGTGGCCGGGAGAACTGCCGCAACAGACGGGGTGGTCTGAGCGGCAGCAGCACTCGCCACTGCTGCGGGGGAGTGTTGGGCCTGGCCCGTAGAGGAGGGGGAACCACGATGTCTCCGACTCTGGAATCGTGGGGAGCCGGACTCGGAGCCGGTAGGGGATGGGGTATGGGAGCGGTGGGGAGAGTGATGAGGAGAGCCCTTGAGGCGGTTGACGTCAAGGGCAAGCGCATTGATTTGCGCTTGCAACGGTCTAAGCGTACTAAGTTGCGCCTGAATCGCTACGAGGGTGGCATGAAGGTCCATCGAGTCCGCATGGGCCTGACCCTGACCCGCTGGACGGCGCCGCGGTGATCTCCTCAAAGGAACTCCCTTCCATGGTCGGAAGGGAAAGGGAGGTAGAGCTCACGGGGGTGTGTGGGGAGAGGGGCCCGCCGATAAGAGGAAGGGGACCGCGGGAGTGGAGTGAGTATGTGTGAGTCGGCTCACCCCGGAGTTTGGCGGGTCGCGCGTGAGAAGAACGCGCCAAATCGCTCGAGGGGGGAGGAGCCGTTCGGGTTCAGGTTGCCCGACGGGAGGAGGCGGGAGAGTAGGGGGTTTAGAAGAACCCTAAACCCTAGAAAAACCCTAAGAAAACCCTAACCGGAGTTTAAGTGGTTAGGGGAGGGTAGCGGCGACCTAATCAAGAAAAAAATAATAT